ATCATTCAGTTCATGGAGGGCCGGGCTGTGGGTCACCTCACCTTCCACCTGATTTTAGTTGCCCACCTACGATGCAGGACTAAGAGGTAGCGCAGGGCTGCAGGAGCCACTGTGTTTAGCCTGCATTTAGTCTTCCTGTGAATAATCAATTGGAGTCCAGGTGCCAGTAGTGGACAGTTCCTAGCTGGTGGTAGATGGGACTGGAGACAAAAGTTTTCTGCATTTCTTCTACCTGCCTCTCTCTGCTTCCTTGCCCAGGGGGCTCTCTTGTGAAGGACAGATCACCCCATGGATGCTCTGAACTGATTGCTGGCAGAAGCATTCTGAAATTAGGGAGGTCTGTGAAGTCCACAATGTAATCACAGCAGTCTAGATTTCTCAAAGTCCACCCTGTGGAATTCACAGCAGACTGGCTTTCTCAGGTCACAGAGAATTCATGGGGTTAGCAGACTGATTTTTTAATGTTACATATTTTGGTAAAAATTTAGCCACAGAAAAATATTAAAAAGTAAAAATAGGGATCAAAGCATGCAGTTCTCTCCATCAGGTAAAGCATGAAAATGGAGGCATCTGCAGATTTTGGCCAATTCGTGCATTTTTGTGTGTACAACATTGCATATATATGCATGAACATATCTGCACAAATTCTGAACCCACAGATAGGCAGGCAACACAGTCACCCAAACAGCCACAGATCACTGGCAGAGCATTTCTTGCTTTATTTGCCCATCCCTATTTGCAATCAACTGAAGTCGACATGAAATTCAGTTGAGAGCCATCAGTAGCCCACTGGGGTTTTGACTTGTGCAAATAAAAAAATGAGGAAAGGCATAGGGGAGGGATGAGGACACAGGTTTGCATGAGCTCAGTTGTGTGTATGCATGCAAAGTCAGAAATGATTACTATCATTTAACAGAAACATATCTCCCCACAGTGGGGAAGGCTGTGACCAGGTGACCTGCTCAGCCTGCTGTTCAGGTGTTGACTGTCAATATGCAATGGCAAGATTCTGGCTTTCCAGTCAAACAGTTCTTTGTCTTTAAACTAGATGTGATCTGGGCAGCCCTTCAAACCAAGAGCCAACTAGGCAGAGAGAGGCAGTAGATGCTGAGGAACAGGGAGCAGACGGCTCTGGTGCACTCAGGTGCAGTGGGAGATGCTGTTGGGTCACCCGTGTGGAAGTGACAGTCAGCTGCTAGTTCAGTTGGCTTCTGTGCATGGAGAGGGCAGGTGCCCTTTAGTCCTTGGCCTCAGGCGGTAAAATGTTTAGGCTGGCCCTGGCGCTGATCAGCCTTCAAATAGAAGACTGTCCTCTGCAAAATAGAGCACATGATCACCCTATTTGCCATCCCTGAGCTGGAAGGTATTACATTCCACTTGCTGAGCAAGAGCAACTTAGCCACCCAAGTGGAACAGCAGGCCCACCTTTGGTTTGGAAGCTCCGTGCTCCTCAGCTAGGCCACCGCAGCGTCCATTTGCTTGCTGATTCTCCTGAATTCTGTGCCTCCTGCATCTTCTGTGGTCTGCCTGGTTTTCCATGGGGAGGGACATTAGAGTAGTCGCTGGACACCTTCACATGATGAAGGCATATTATCCCTTCAACTGAAATTCACTGTTCAGAACATGCAGCCCCTTCAGATCTGTCCAATGTTTCCCTTCCAGGTGCAATGTATCCAAAATGCATTGCTGTATGTTACGGATGATGAACAAGCAGTAGATGATATTTAGTGCACAAATGGATGCAGTAACCCGGAAGTCACATTCTTAGGATGGAGGCTATGCATTCTTGCTCAGCACAGAAGAAATTTATTGGACAACATGGCTGGTGGAGCTGGTCCCCAGCTCAAGTCAGTTTCCTTTATTTCTATTATATTTCTGTACCAATCTGCTTGGGCCAAAGAAGATACATGGCACTTTTTTGCATGCCTAAATAGGAAGATATGAGTAAGCCTGGCAGAGAGAGAGAAAGATTACAACTGCACTTGGAACATGCTCCGCTTCATGGCTGCAGTGCCTACCTAAGATTTGTCTTCCAGAAAACAGGCAGCCAGTGCAAATCAAACAATCGGACTAGATCATATGTGAAATCTATGATTTCATTTCATGTATATATGTGTGTATTTTCAAAAAGCAGCTGTGGAGATGCCTGGGAGTATGATACATAAGGCAGAGCTTTTAAAAGGAATCCTTACACTTCATGTCATGGTGAAGAGAAAAAAACCCAACCCTCTCCCAAATTGCTAAAGACAGAAAGAGAAATTTTCCCCAGTGGTCACTTCTTGGGCGGGGGGTGGAGGGGGGAAGGTATGAAGGGTTTTTTGTTGAAGCTGCAGAGTGGAGAAAGAGTTGCACTGCGCTCACCCTGAAAAACAGACAGACAAAGGAAATGCAATTGTGCCTTTCATGCATCCTCTACTTAGTTATCCCCGCTGTGTTTGCTTCTCTAATTGTTTAAATTTGCCCCTGGCAAAGAAACAGCAAGTCGAGTGTCTGATAACAGCAGTTTTGGCAGTGCAGCAGGAGTGTATTTGCATAGCTGAGCCTGGTGCGCCAACAGCACCCATTCCTGGAGTCTGATCTCGCCAGAGGCACAGGCTTTAGCTGCACCTGTCCTGACGCACAGCTTGGCTTCCTGTGATGCGTGTCCTGGAACAGGCTTTCCAAGGGCCTGCCTAGGAAGAGTGGGAACATCAGCTGGTCCAGGGCCAGCCGCAGGAAGCACACGACTCCCTTGTAAACAACAGCATCCTTGCCTGCTCCATGTTTCAGAGCAGAATGCACAGTGCTGGTTATGACCTATAAAGCCCTGTCTGCCTTGGGACCAGGTTACCTGAAAGGCTGCCTTCTCCCAAGGGAGCCTGTCCAGGTTTTGTGATCCCAAGTGGGGGCCCTTTTGCTGGGGCTTGGCGGCACAAGAGAATGGCTTCTTGGTGGCTGAGCCCAGCCTTTGGAACGCCATGGCATGGGAAGCTTGGCTGGCTCCCTCTTGCAAATGCAATTTATCCAAGCAGGCCTGTAGCATGAAGCCGGTCTGTTGCTGGAACAGGTTGCACTGGTGTGGCTGCTGGTTTTATTTTGTTTAGGGCTGTGTTTGTTAATTAATTAATTAATTATGTATAAAAGCCATCCGTTAGCATAATATTCTCTGGGTGGCCATTACAATAAAATGCGTTTTTAATTGTGCTTTTAATCCATTTATTTTAAAGATTGATTTTAACTAAATTTATGCGACTCTTGGTTTTATTATTGTTTGTTGGCTTGACTGTCATTTTTGGAGCGGAAAAGTGGGCTATCAGTTAAATCAAACCAATTAATTTAGTCTTTTCAGAAGGTCTCCTTCATCACGTGTTCTTTCTGCACATCCCTGTGCAGGAAGGGTTGGAGCTGTGCCCACTGGCACCTTCTCTGATGTCACATGCCCAGTTGTCTACACCTCTCCTTAGGCGCTATTAGAACATAAGAGCCCTGTTGGACCAGGCGAGTCCAGCATTCTGTTCAGCTGGACAGGAATCCCATCAGCAAGATGCACCAGCCCCCTCCCGCCCATGCTTCCCAGCAGGAATATGTAGATAGACACAGTTTCTCTTGATACTGCTGAGTGGTCAGACCGAGTAGCCACTGATACATCTCTTCTCTGTGAATCTAGCCAATCTCCTTTTAAGGCCATCCAAATGGATGATCATCATTCCATCTGGTGGAAGTGAATTCCACAGTTTAACTATACACTGTGTAAAAAAGGACTTCCTTTTATCTGTCCTGAATCTCCCACCAATCCTCTTCATGGGATGATCCCAGATTCTAGGATTATGAGAGAGGGAGAAACATGCTACCGTCAGTAACAGCTTAAAGCCACACTAGGCTGCTTTCTTTTATATTTTTGGCCTTCCCACCAACAGGAATGTGGCATCCAAGAGCCCTTCTGAAATGGAATTCAGGCTGAAAGAGTCTCCCTGTCCTCTTCTGCCTGGCATTGGCAATTGTTGGGCCAGGCAGAATCCCTCAGAGGCCTCATGTAGAGATCCACATATTCGTGGCCATAGGTTGTAACTCGAGTCCCTGGAATCCAGTCTTCTTCTGTTTGTTGGCTTTTTCTCATGCTCGGCCCTAGCTTAGAAAATGAGCAGAACCAAGAGGAATCCACGAACACTTGCAAAACTCCAGCTGTGCAATAGGCAACCTTCTTCCCCTGCTTGTGCAACACAAACACATACTGCAAGTCACATGCATGGAAGAGGGCTACCACTTGCACAAGGTTCACAAGGTCTTGCTTCCTGGCATGTGCCCACACCAACCATTCAGTGTGCTCACCAGCAAGTCCAAGTCATAACCACAAGAAAGTAAGCCAGAGTCCAGAGTGCTGAGTCCGGGGAATCTGATGAATTCCCAGCTTCCATCCCTGATGTGTACTGAACTGCATGACCCTTAGGAGAGGGTTCTTTAAACACAGCTTCTGTGATTCGGCCATCAAAATGTTCATTTGTGTGAACAATTTTGTTCTTTCTCTTTCATCATAACAAGCATTTATGTCCTTCCTTAGTGATGTGGTGGAAGGTTGCAAATGGTTTGAGTGCTAGAAAGAGACAAACATAATAATAATAAAATAATAATAAAATACCCCAATGACTGGTGACAGGGAAAAATAAGTTGACTGCCCCGCAATCATATATCTCAGAGACTTATAGGTTGGACATAAAATAGCAGACAGCTGATGATTAATCTACATATGCAAATAAAAAGGGAAAATGGGTAGCTGTTGCATTATTTTTTGAGCTAATTACTGCAATTTGAAACATTTGATGAATAGGCTCCCTAATGGAAATCCCTCCTAAGAGAGACGTTGCTTAGAGATTTGTGACTTTCCTAACCCTGTGAAACTGTTGCCAGACCCCCAAGGCAGGATGGGGCATGTAGGATGCAGAGGATGAGGGACGGGGGAGAGGATATAGGGCCTGCTGTTTAGCAAGAGGAAGAGAAAGTGGGTGGGCTGCCTCAGCACCTACCATACGCCGGATAACAGACCTTCATGCAGCACACTGTGCTCAGAGCTGTCAGGCTGGTGAGGCTACACAGGCCAAAGAGAACTCCACAAAAGGCATAGAAGGTGCACATGGCCTGGTTGAAGAGCCACCTGGAAAGGAGAGAGAACTAGGGGAAATAAACGACCTCATCAAAAGCGCTGTGCCCCAGGCATCCCAGCCAGCAAGTGATGTTTTAGCATCCTTGGTCCAAGTAGTGGTTCGCCCACGGGCCAGTGAAATGTACGTCCTCCATAAGAGATCCGTTCTGTGAAGTTGTAATTCTGCAACCTGGTTAAATTGATTTTCAATGTATGGGTGTTGATGCTTCTCACACGCTGGTATTCAACATGTGAAATAGCTGGTATCCTGCTAAGCAAATGATACTGAGTTTGCTGAAAGCGATTCTAGTACAATGAAAGACTAGGGCGCAGGGCGAGTGGGTGGCCACTGTGAGGAGGACACGCCTGGCTTGCAGGGGTCTTTCCTCAGTGACACTTTCTGTCTGGGATGGCCTTGAAGACTGTCTGTGGCCCCTTGCACAGGTGGTTTCCTAGGCCATCCCCCCACCGAGGCTTTGCCCTGAGGAAGGTGCCCGTGGAGTGGGACACTGAGACCGAAGGAGGTGGCAGAGGATGATGAAGCAGGAGTCTTGCGTGAGTGTGGATATCCACTAGCACTGCCCCGTAACTACTAGCAGAACGCCAGCATTGGGTACTACCAAACCTAATATCAACTCCCCAAACTAATAAATGTTCAACATACTTACAATTATCCAACACAGAGGAAAGAATAAGCATGCTGCCCATATTATGCAAATTAAACAGATGTGCATAGAATCCATTCCTGTTTGCATTCCTTATGCTGCTTCTGCCAGTTATGGGAGGAGCATGGGTTTTGCAGTGCACCCCTCCTCCCCTCCCACTCTCTGTAATGTACCCAGCTCTGGCTTTGAAAATTCCATATGGAAAATTTCTTTCCAGCCACTCTACCCCAAAGGACGATGGATGTTGGCTTTCTGAGGCAAGAAAGCTGGGATTGTCAGGGTGCCGAATTCAGCAGCTGATGGAGCAGCTGTTCTGCACGGGGGCAGATTTGCACTACCCTGTTGGAGCATTCCGGCCAGAAAGCAAACTCAAGCTGCTCTTGGCCACCTGTTTGTGGCAAGCGCAGAAAAGAACATTCCTGGCATTCCAGTAATGCTGGAATCTGAGCTGGATCTTCCCTTCAAGACAGTTGGTTCAATGATCCCAGTGACCCCTAATAATCTCAGAAATTACTAGATCCAGGAATGAAAAGAACTCAGTTGTGAACTGAGTGGCCCCAGGATACAGCACCGAGACAGGGTCAAGCTGTGTGTGACACAGAAACTCAAGGAGGGCTCAGTTGAGGGCTCTCCTTGAACAGACAAGTAACATGGGGTGGGTACCAACTTTTGTCTCTGTGCGAAGTGGTGGGTGGGGCAAAGCATCTCAGCACATGTTAGTCCTATGAGAAGCACTTCAGACTGTTAGAATAGGGGAAAAACTTGCACCAAAGCTGGGAAACCACAGGATGATTGGTGGTTGCAGGGAAGGGTCACGACCAATTAGGGAACCCTAGAAGGGTAGTCTGAGGCCTCAGGTAGGCTGGATGTGATCTCTGAGCTGCCAGTCCTGCATTCCTGCCCTACACCACAGCCACAATACAAATCGCCCCACCCCAGAAAGCTGTTGCTAGCTGTTCTGACCTTCCTAAGAACTTGTGGCCTTAAATCTCCCCTCTACATGGTTAGTGGTAGGTTTGGAAGAGGGATAACCAATCATGGAGAAGTGCTAGCCTCCCCATTCTCTGCCCTGCAGCACTGATTCAATTTGCCCCTGCTGCCATCATTGCTTTTAAAGAACAAAGTTAGGAGCTAGTTTGACCCTGATGTGACCATATTGCTAAACCTAAGTGAAAAAAGGAGGTGACCAGTGCCTGGATGGGAGGGAACCACTTGAAAAGAAGAATGGAATCCAAATAAAAGCTACCTGTGTGCAAAGAAGGATGGGGTGGCCAGTGGGAAAAGAATCAAAGTCATGCCCACATCACTGATGGCGAGATTTACAATGAAGAATTCAGCTGGTTTCAGGATGGCTCTCTTCCGATAGGCTACCAGAAGGAGGAGAGAGTTGCCACAGAGAGACACAACACCTAAGGGAAAGCAGAGGAAGATCCTATATTGAAATATATGGGCATTCGGTGAGTGACTTCAGAAAGACCTGGACAAAGGGTATGCGATCTTCCAAAACATTTATGGGTAGCAGGATAGCTATAGATACATACATTGATCTGGTGGCAATCCATAACATCCATTATCATCACCACCACCACCACCACCATCATAGTCATCGTCATCAACATCGCTATGATCCTTCTCCTGTTTCTTTTCTGTCATTTGCAAAAATATTCCTTGCACAGAGAGATGCTATTCTTTACAGTGTGAACTTTACAATCAGCAAAGAAACCTGCTTCCTAGAATGGCTCCCATAAAATTTCCCAATCCTTCTGAGTAATACTATTTTAACTCAGGATTCAGTGTTGGTGATTCCTTTCCTTATTTCAGCCAGGAATTAAAACAAAACAAAACCACTTTCAAAGTGCACATGGCTTTCAAACATTAAATAACTGTTGAATGTTAATCTAGTAGTGTTTTCTGTTAATGTTTGCAACGTTTATTCTGAGCAGAATAATATGCTTTCTGATATGATTCTGAGTGATTCTGGATTGTAGAATAAGATTTTTGTGCTAGCAAGATGGGAGATGCAGGCATTTGCAAGTGAAATTCATCCTACCAATTTGAAATTGGCCATGTCCAAACTAATTTTTACCCAGCATCTTTTCTCAAACAGATCTGTTTTATACAATAATAGATTGTGTGCACAAAATAGGAGAAGGAACATGGTGAAGATTATGCAAAATCCAACTGAAGCTTCAGGGACAAGCTGTTCTTTGTTTGAACATAGTTGAGACAACAATGGTAATTAAAATTTAATGCCCAGGATTTTCCTTTTCTATTAAGTCATGCTAATTTGATTTTAAAAGAGTTTTCCTTTGTAACCACAAAGGAGGTCCCAATTACTCCAAGGGCAGGTTATGGACAATTGGAATGACTTCCAGATAGATTAGCTTGCAAATTAAATATTATGATAACAGTAACATGCCAGAGAAGTAGAGTGGCTCCTTTCACAATGTTATCCTCCACCAAATCCTCAGCAACGTTGGCTCATGCTCAAAGGACTGGCATCGGAGACCAGAGTGCAACCCAGTTCTGGTGAGAGAACTGGATCGACTTCTCATTTCCATTCCCACTCATGATTTCTAATGCAAAAAATGGTCTTATTCCCTTACTTCTATTTTTTAAAACCAGATCCATCGAGTATCTGACTTTATAGCCTATGTATTAGCAGTGCATACAGATTGCTGAGTCAGGTCTTCCCAGGCACTGTGACCTGAACAATCATCCTGGATGTGCTGCAAATGGATTCAGAAAGCTTGTTTTGATGGGAGACTGTGCTGCACCCTTCGCGGGCCAGTGCCCCTCAGCCACTTCGGGCAACCGCTCCCAACACCCCAACCCGCGTGGCCAACGGTCAAGGATGACTGACTGGAATGCTGGAGTCAGCTGCTGGACAGGCTGCCAGGAAGGGGCTGAGGAACAGAGAGAGCACACCTTGGGTACAGGATCCCTTTCCCGGGAACTGCTGTGGTGAAAGATCTGCAGAAGCTCCTCTTTGCAACTAATGATGCTTCACTCAGATACGGATAACCAAAGTCAGTGCTACGAAAAGGCCACCTCTGCTTTGTTTTCCAAAGGAAACCAGCCTCATAGAGAGTGGCCTTAGGAACTGCCCACCACGGGAAGAACGGAGGTGCACAAAGCCCAGCAATGGTGGGAATACTGACATGACGGCTGTTGTACACCTGGAAAACTTTATGAAGGTTTTAGAGTAGTACTTCTTGTTTGAGTCTCCTTTGTTTCTCTTGTATATTCCATGGGACAACCTTCCCATGCTTGGTGCCCTCCAAATCCATTAGAGTACGGTTCCCATCATCTCCAGTCAATGTGGTCATTAGTTATCTGCATGGGAATGATGGGAGATGTGGTCAAATACATCTGGAGAGTATCAGGTAGGGAGAGGGCACTTAGGAATTCATTACACTTAGGGCAGCCCACTGAGCTCCCACCCTACAAAAGACATAGACAGGCAGTTTCAGCCCTCTGTACCTTTTGGTCCTATGCACGAGGAGGAGAGGCTGAAGCTGTACCAGAATACAAGAAATTCCAGTGGTGCCTCCATTTCTCCCCATGAGCAGGACAAAAAGACATAGAAGGTTGAAACTGAAGTCTCGTTTGCAGTTTTGGAGCTCCAACAAACCCCCAAAGGACAGTACTGGTGATAAGAGTGGCAGGAGGATGCTTCAAGGCCAGAGTCCCAGCTTTGACCTCGAAACACATTCTGAATTCAGGGTTGGGACACCAACCTATCTTGTGGCTATCTAGACAGCATTTTGCAGCTACAGGATCTACTGCACCTTAGCAGTAGACAAGTATTACCGAGAAACGCTACCTGACATGACAGAGAGTGGCCATCGGAAGGCATTGGCTTCTTCCGAACAGCCTTAAGAAAGAATGCATTACCCATCAGGGTAATTGTTTGATTATGCTGTGTTGTTTTAGACACTGTTCTCAAATGGACAAACGATACAGACTTCCCTTCTGCATGGCCACTGAAATGCATTGGAATGGGTTGCAGTTCCGAACGCAGTGGCGCATGTGCCTCTGAATGGCTACTGAAAATATATTGGGATGGGATACAATCAGATCTACAAGTCAGACCTACAAATCTCTCAGCAATTAACATGTCTGCCTTTGAAGGATTATGGAAATGCACTGGAGTGGACTGGGATCCAGCACTCAGTGCCCTACAAGCTTCACAATATAGCCTTTTTAAGATGTCTGTCAAAGGGATCAGCTACTAAAATGCATTAATTACAAACTGCCTGCAGTTGAGACCCATCATGCAAGCAGGCAAATCTAAATAGCTTTGCTTATATTAATCAACATGCTTGTCACACAATTAATGGGCTGCAGTTTAGCAGCCCAGCCCACAAGAGGTGAGAACACTCAGCAGAATTCAGCACGGAATCTGTGACATCAAACTGCTGTACCATTAGTGTCTTTGCAGGACAAGGTTAGCTGTTCTTCTTTCCCTGTAACTTGGAGCAGACAGAGTATAATATCAGCCTTCTGCTACAAAGATTCCCTGGAGGAAGCCTGCCTTTTGTTAAGATTGACTTCAGCATAAGCTGTCACCAAAAAAGCATGGATTGGCACTGCAAAGATTATTGCCAGTCTGGATAAGAGCACCTGGAAGATTGCTAGGGGCTGGATTGGTGGTCAAGGACAAAACAATCATTTAGATCTGCAGTGTTCGAAGGTGGGTAGAGCAGGGTGAGCGCAAGCTAATGGCAATGACATTTCAAGCAACTTCCTTCTCCATCCCAGAAACTCTCTCACACACATATATATGCCAACTTGCATAACTGATGCTGAGTTAATTCTTGGCCACAGAGCAATAGCTATTTAGAGCATCACTGTGTGGCACCTTTGGAAGGGATTCTGAAACTGCATTTCGCTCATTCCTGGGATCCTCCAGCATAACTGCTTGGAGGTCTTGGTACAACACTGATTTCACCCCCACAATAAATCCCTTGGCAGTGCACATCAAAGGTGAGTGTGGGAGAGAGAAACAGAGATAGATCCACACACCAGTCTTGGGACTCACTCCATGCCCTTCAGATGCAGTACTAAGAATGTAAGGAGAGCTTTGCCGAATCAGACCTTAGGCCAGTGGTGGCGAACCTATGGCACACGTGCCACAGCGGACACGCTGAGCCTTCTCTGTCGGCATGCAGGCCAGGTCACCCCAGCAGCAGAGCATCGGATAACAGCGCACACAGGGGCCATGTGCATGCTCGGAAAAGAGTAGTGGTGCCAGGCGATGATGTCACAAGCTGCAACTCATTAGCTGTGACTCGTCCAAGCTTTAGCATGGCCAGTCAGTGCACTGCCAAGGATATATATATATTTGCTTGGACTGGCTGTGAGGTTTTTTTTTCTGAACTGAAACCTCAGTTTTCAGGTTTTATTGTAGTGTTGGCACTTTGCGAGAAATAAGTGGGTTTTGGGTTGCAGTTTGGGCAGTTGTTCTCCAAAAGGTTCACCATCACTAGATTAGGGTTAGAAAACCGAGGTGTCCTGGTATGATTTTAGTGGTTGGAATGTGTTCCGAATGGGCAGAATTGTTGAGCTGTGCAGAAAAAGCTACTCAAGGGAGGCCTTTTCAAATTTGTGCTATTTTCAATAGAACTTTACCCCTATATTAGGGTTAGAGGTGTGCACCAGGTTAGGGTTAGGCTAGTGGTGGCGAACCTATGACACGTGTACCACAGCAGGCATGCAGAGCCCTCTCTGTCGGCATGCAAGCCAAGTCACCCCAGCATTGCCCCAGCAGCTGAGCATTGCATAACAGCACACATAGGGGCCCTGTGCATGCTCGGAAAGGAGTAGCGGTGCCAGGCGTTGATGTCACAATCCACAACTCATTAGCCACGACTCATCCGAACTTTCGCATGGCCAGTCAGTGCACTGCCAAGGAGATAGATAGATAGATAGATAGATAGATAGATAGATAGATATTTGCTTGGACTGGCTGTGAGGTGTTTTTTTTTTCTAAACTAAAACCTCAGTTTTCAGGTTTTATTGTAGTGTTGGCACTTTGCGAGAAATAAGTAGGTTTTGGGCTGCCGTTTGGGCACTTGGTCTCCAAAAGGTTCGCCATCACTGCCTTAGGCCCTTCTAGTCCAGAGTTCTGTTCACACAGCTGCCAGCCAGAGGCCTGCAGAAAACTCACAGGCAGGATAGCAATGCTAGAGAACCCTCCAACTTAGGGTTCCCTGTAGCTGCTATAAAGAGATACATTTTTCTGACACTGGCATCAGTATACAGCCATCATGACCAGCAGCTGTTGATAGCCTTGGATTCCATGAATCTTTCCTCCCTCTTGACACTGGGAGGACAGATGAAAGGAAGCATTTCTTTGCATGGCAAAGGAAAGGGAAGCACTTTGCTAAACGATAGAATTCACTTC